TATGATGAAGCCAGGCAGAAGGGGTGTGTATACCCCTGGATGGTGTGCATAAAGACTTCCCCAAAGAAACCGATTGCATTGTGCACAATCCCTGGGTGAGTTAGGGTGCCTGTCTCCCAATTGGCGGATGTGCCATTATCACCACAATTCTCTGGTGTCACCTCGGTAGGTGGTGGCAACCATATCATCTTGGGCCTGATGCGTTTGGGTTTGGTAGGGATTGCCTTACATGCCTACAAAATTACACAATCTCAGCTTGCTGTGGGTGGGGAATTCATATCAACAGTGACTCACATTGGTTGTCTCCACCCCCAAGCATGTACCTTCTTCAGGCCACGTGCGGAACTGCGGTCCATGCCCCCGGGTGATTGGGGCGGGCGGTCTGCGAACTTGTCCCACGGGGGCTCCGGGCGGGGCCATCACGGTGTCATGACCGGGGCCCACCTCAGGGGACGACTGGATATGGCATTGTGAAGATGTCAACGACTTCTTCTTGTTTTGCACCGAAGCTTTTGCAAGGCCACTTACAGGTGACGGTATTGGTTGTTCTTTGGGGTTCGGCTGTGTGTCAGCTACCGTATCGAAGGGCTTTGGGGCATTCACATGCTCTGATTTTGCAAGCTAGACACATTGAGACACATCAGCCTTCTCGTTGGTGATATGTTTTCCATGTGAGTGGAAATGGAATTGCTTACCTCAGCAAACACTTCTTCAAGACCTGATGGCAATTCCGCATCGTCAGGGCTATCAGGAACTGGCCCTGCGGGTGGGGAATCTGTTGGTGTGCCTGCTCTTGAGCACGCATGCACATCTGGCGAACCGGCTGTGGCAGTAACTCCCCCTGCTGGTGGTGAATCCGTTGGTGTGCCTGCTCTTGTGCACGCATGCACATCTGGCGAACCCGCTGCGGTCAGAGGCCTGGAGGTGCATTCCCCGTCTGACCCACCTGAGCTTTCTTTATCAGCATTCTCAGAATCATCTGCAGAGCTGGATGAGTCCCCTGAATCGCTAGACTCCGCGAAGTTGACCTTCTTTCTTGCTTGGGTAGATCGTAAAGGCAGCTTCCTCTTCTTCGTGAGCTGATCAGGTTCATCACCAATTTCATCACATGAAGTCGCATCTGCTGACGAATTATTCGACTTTGTGGTAGCCTTTGGCTTGGCCTTAATTTTCACCTTCTTAGCCCTTGCAGCCTTTTTTCTTCGCCTGAGCCTCGTTAACTTGGGCCTCCACCACCTCGGAATGGATTGCGTCCCGTTTGGCTGCTCGCACGTAACCTCGTTTCCGCTTTTTCTTGGCTCCCTTGCGGTTGTTTCGTATGATGGGTGCCTCACCCAGGGGCACAACAACTGTGTTAGTCCGCACCTGGCGCAGCTTGGCCATAAGACCTGGGAGATCTTGAGGCCTCACGTCGGCCAGAATCTCCTCTTTCATGGCTGCATAGTCCTCGTCAAAGTCATAAGGAGGCTCCGCATTCTGGGCCAGGCAGGGAGAATCATCAGAACCCAAGACGACAGCAATCAGGCGTTTGGAAAGGATCACTCACTGGTTCATCAGGGGTATAATATAATTTCCACTGATCATGAATATTTGTTGTTTCAACAACACCACTTTCGTCTATGATATCGGCCAACATGTGCCAGCATGGGATACCCATTGTGGCCCACAAGCTACCAGTGCACTCGTCATCATCCAACCCCTTCGCCGCTGAGTCCCGATTCTTCAAGTACAGGTCGCGCTGCCGCTCAAGCATGACAATTGCATGAATTGAGACCTTAGTGTTAAGTGGACGGAAGGTTTCCGGCAGACAGGATTTCCCCTTCTGCTTCTCGTTTAATATCTGTTTCACAATACTTGTGACCTGGTAGTCCACTGTGTCAGCAATTTTCTCGAACGCAGTCGCCATGTCCTTCTTGTGTGAGGTCACGTGTTTCTTCAGCCAATTGTGAGCAGACTCCCCTCGAGCGGTCGTGTGATTGCCTAAATGCGGGGTCTGCCCTATCCAAGGTCTCATGAACAACTCCCGATCAGGAATGATGTTCTTGATCAGGTAATCCAGGACCGAGGCGCGATCGGCTAGATACATTTGAAGCTTGCCCCAGGCGTCGTCATAAGCGTCCTCATCCTTTGAATACATTACTGAGTTCCACTTCTTCTTGAACACCTCATATTCCGCAGGATCAGCCGCAAACGCAGGGTAACAAGCCGCACGGATGTTTTGGTCTATGTGCCACAAGCAGACATTGTTCACCGCCTCAGGGAAGTGCACCGCAATTGCGTTTCGTAAGGCCTTCTCGCAATCAGTTACAATCACCTTGGGTGATCTGTCGGGTGCCCACACATCCCTGTGAACTCCCAGAATTGAGTGACCATCAATCGGTCTGACTGATCTCAGAACTGGAGCCAATGAGAAAACTATTCTACTCACTTCAACTTCTTCATCACCCATGAATATGCGACCTCAGACTCGTGCCTCATGAAGCAAAATCCAATGGAGAAAGTCCTGTTTGTCGCGGACTGCCCTACCACGTGCAAGAGAGGGTAGTTGTTGACGTTTGTTTTGTAAGTACAATCCATCAAGACCACATGATGGAACGTTCGCGCGAGTTCCAGAGAGCCAGGATGAGCAAACCACACATATAGAGGTTGGCCATTCTCATCATAAGCCTCGTCGTGTATCCAGTTGGAATCGCTGAGGCACCGAAGAAGATACCGCATTGGGGTCTCGCCTTTCCGCTTTACTCGTTTTTCCGCCGCGGTCGCATTGCAAACTGTCCTACACGTGACATGGCGACCAGCCCTTTGGGAGAGCATCATTGCCACTGCTCTTGGCTGCATCCCCAATGATGCCATACGTAACGCCTCTGTCTCAAGCGCCGGATCAACCCGTTGATTGAGAACCTCATATTGAGTCTCCATTGGGCCGTGATTATGAGACAAGTCTTCCGCGATTCGAATTTCCCAAGGTTCATTCGGGCGGTCTTTGCTTGTCGGTTTGTGCGCAGACACCAGGGGAGTTTGCTCAGCACCTGCTTTCAAGTGCCATCAGTGAACTTGGTCATAGATCTGGTTTGAAGTCTGTTCAAAGGAGGTTAGAAAACATGTTGATGTGTACCACAATCTGGAATACAACACATGTTGATGTCTACTGCAACTTAGCCTGATGTGACGCGGAATTGTACTGGATATATTATGGAATGCATGTGTAGAATATACCCCAGACCTATGCTGAAACCAAGTTCAACTTTTCAGCAAAAATTCGTTGATCCAAAGCTTTGGCCCAAGCTTGCAATATCTTGACTCTTATGATTTCCCACCTGGTTGCGAGCCACTATCTCAGTAAGTCACTCTGAGATGTTTTTTAAGGGACCCACTATTTAAAAGGAGGCGTGTGAGTTGAACAAGCCCTTTCCAATGCCTATATCATGTGATTATTATGTACAAACAACTTACAAAGTTAGTGGTTACCAGGCCTCCTAAACTTTTGGTATTGGCTTACCAAAGAGTACAATTATTGGAAGCCAAATGCTCACTATGTTGGATTGATTTGCGAAGAAAATACAGCAGTCAACATGTTGACCAATCCAATCCAACAGGTGCAGGTGTTTTTTTTACAAAAATTTCCAGCTTACATCACTACCTCATGTAGCTCCCTGCAGCC